TTAATTAATTAATATATATATATATATATATATATATATATATATATATATATAAATATATATATATATATTATTGTTTTTAAATATAAATATAATTTTTTTTTAAATAAAAGTATTTATATATATTAATTAAAGTATTTATATTAATTAAATAAATTATAAAATATAATTTAAATAATATTTAATAAATATAATATTTTAATATAAGTAAAATTTTAAAATCATATTATTTATATGATAAAAATAATTATTTATAAAAATAAAATAAATATTTTATAAATACAAATTATAAGAATAAAATATATTTATACTAAATATTTATCAAAAATAAAAAAATTTATAAAAGAAAATAAAAAATATTTAATATATAAAATATTGTTTTGTTTAATAAAAAAAATCAAACATAAAAATTTTATAACAAAATAAAAATATATATATGATAAAAAATATACATAAAGATGGAAAAAATAAAGCTAAAGATTAAAAAAATCAAAAAAAATCATAAAAAAATATACCAAAAATATATAATATAAAAATAAATAATAATAAATATAAAAAGTTATAATTAAATAAATTAATATATATAATATAAATGTATATATTTATATATATTTATATTAATTAATATAATATATATATATATATATAAATATTTTTTATTATTATAAAAAAAATTATATTTTTATCTTTAAAATATTTACAAAAAATATTTATTTTAAATTAAAAATATTTTTGTGTATCTTTTTTTTTTTTATTTTTTATATAATAAATAAATATAAAATATTTATATTTTTATTTAATTTCCAGGTTTATATTTAATTTTATTTATCTTATTTTTTTTATTAAAATTATAAATACTTTAAATAAATTTATACAATAAATATAATTTATTTTTATATACAAAAAAAATATTATGATGAATTAAATTAAAAAATTGTAAAAAATTAAATTTACAATTTCTGTCTTTTTAATTTTTTTGTTTTAATAAGTATTATTTGATATATTTTTCTTTAAAATTTATACATTAAAATATTGTAATATAATTCTCTTAAATTCAAATTATCTAACTAATCAAATATTATATATTATTATATTATATTGTGTATTTATTATATATTATAAAAAATATTTTTAAAAAATTATATTATTTATATAAATTATGCTATTCATTATATATTTTTGTATTTTTATATTTTTTTCCCTTGCATTAATTTTATTATAAATATAAAAGAAAAACAATAACATTAACAAATAATTTATTATTTAATTATATAGGATTTCTATTTTTTTTTTTTTTAAATAAATATTATTTTGAGGTTTTTTTTAAAAAAATTAATTATAACTTATTATTTAGAACTTTATATTTTTAAAAATTCTTCATTTACGTAAATATATAGTCTATATATTATATTTATTATTTTTATTTTTTTCGAAATAAATAATATAAAGTTTTTTGGTAAAAATATTTATTAATTATAAAATATTATATATAATAATAATATTATATATTATATAATATTTTTGTAATTAATTAAATATTTATAATATTATGAGAAAATATTTAATTTATTTTTAAAAAAAATAAATAGTTTTTACAAATATAAATATATAAATAAAAAATTAATATTATTTTTTTTTAATTAATTAAAAATATAATGACTTAAAAAAAAAAAAATATCTTTAAATTTTTAATATTATTTTTATTTATTTTCTTATATAAATTTATTAAGTTTATTTGTTTTTTATATAAATTATTTTTATGTATTAATATTTTATATAACTTTTTATATTATTATAATATAAAAAAAAAAAATATTTAAATAATAACAATAAAAAATAAATAATTATTTTTAAATGTGATATAAATATAAATAATAACTTCATTACAATCTAAAAAATAAATATTTAAAAATAACTTATTAAACTATATTATAAATTTTCAAATAAAATATAATTAAAATTTATTATTAATCAAAATGGTTTTAATTATTATTAGAATAAATATTTATTTAATTATAAATAATAGAATTTTTATCAAATATATCATTAGATTGAAATTTAAATTAAATATAAACTATCTTAAAAGTTTTATTTTTATGTGCTTTCTTGTTAACTTAAAAATAATAATTATTAAATACTTAAAATATTTTTTCTTTCTTTCTTAAATATATAAATTATAACTATCTCATATTTTAATATTATTATATTATTTATATAAATTTTATATTTTATTAAACAAAAAATTAAAGTTTTAAAAAAAAAATTTACAAATAAGAAAACAAAATAATATGAATATTAAATTAATATATTAATCTTAAATATAATAATATCTTTCTATACTTTTCTAAAATTTTCAAATAAAAAATAATTAAAAAAATTCCTATATTAATAAAAAAACATACATAAATACACACATTAAATACTAAACTAAATAAATAAATATCCGAAAAAAACAAAAAAAACAAAAAAACAAAAAAACACAAAAAAAAACAAAAACAAAAAAAATGGCAGCTCCATTAGTTACATTAGGAACTTTAGGTATATTAGGCTTAACAGCCTTAAGTAATTGTGTATTTACAGGTAAAATCAAATATATATATATATATATATATATAAATAAAAAGTCGAACCAGGTCATACTGCTTTAATATTTTCTCGTTTATAAGGTTTAAAAAGTCTTTAATATTCTGAAGGATGGCATTTTAGAATTCCTTATTTTGAACGTCCTATATTATTTAATACATAAACTCGTTTTAAATCATTTTAAGCAAATACTGCTAATAAAGATATGTAAAATATAAATTTAACAATTAGAGTACTATTTGAGCCTTAATAATCAAAATTACCTGAATTATATAGGTATTTTTTTTTTAATAATAATATATATAAATAATATGTATGTTTATGTATATATATATAATAGATATGTAGGAACAGATTATGATGAAGTAGTTTTTCCTTCTATAGTTAATGAAATTATGAGGGCTGTTGTTGCTTAATATTCAGCTAGTTAATTAATGAGTTAAAGGGATAAAGTAAGTGAGAAAATCAGAAAAACTTTAGAAGATAGAGCTAAGCTTTTCCATATAAATATTAAAAATATTGCAATTACAGAACTTTCTTTTTCAAAGGAATATCAAGAAGCTACTGAAGCTAAAAAAATAGCATAATAAGAAGCTGAAAGAGCTAAATATATGGTCGAAAAAGCTAAAGATGAAAAAAAATCAATTATTATCAAGGCTTAAGCATAAGCTAAATCTATTGAATTAGTCGGAAAAGCAGCAGCTAATGATCCAGGTAAATAAAAATAAAATAAAGAATTTATTAAAAAAAAATTAAATAAAAGCTTATTTGGATGTAAAAAGAATTGAATTTGCAAAAGAAATTTCAGGTGTTTTAGCAGATTCGAGAAATCATATTATGCTTAGCAGTGATATTTTATAAATGGATGCTTTCAAAACAAGTAGTGGTTATTAATTCAATATTGAAAAAGGAAAATGAAAAAAAATATATATATATATTATAAATATAAAAATAATTATATATATATATATAAATTATTCATATATAAAATATAATAAAAAAATAAAAATATTTATTGATTTTATAATTTTTTATTATATTATTAATGAAAAAAAAAATTAAAATATAATTGAAAATTATAAAAAATTAATTATTAAAATTAGAATAATATATAAATTAGATCAGATAATATAACAAAAAAAAAAATGAGACAAAAATAGGGAATAAATAAAATAAGAAATTAAAAAAAAATATAAAATATATAAAAATATATATATATATATATAATTATATATTTATTTATATATTTAATTTTATATATATTTTTTTTTTATTTATATATATATTTTTATAATTTTTTTTTAATGCTACAAAATCTTTATCAATTAGTACCAAAATATCTATCTCCAAAATCTCCTAGGCCTGGAGCAATATATTTAGTTTCTTCAATTAGCATAGGATCTACACTTCCTGTTACTACTTAAATATTAGGATATTTATTGAAAAGTTTTTTCAGTCCAAATTCACAAGCAATTAAATTTACAAAAGTTATATCTTTTTCTTAAATACCGACTTTAATTAACTCTTCGATAGCTTTAATGACTGAGCCTCCAGTGGCTATCATTGGATCAAATAGTAAAATTTTTTTATTTTTGATATTTTTGGGTAATTTAGTATAATATAATATAGGTTTTTTTTCTTAAGTCGCTTCGTCTCTTTATAATAGAATTTAACCAACTTCAATATCTGGCATTATTTATAAAAGTTCATGCAAAAAGCTATTTCCGGCTCTCATTATAGTAACAGCTATAAAATCGTCTTATTATTTTATTTCAACAGAATCATAATATGAACAAGGAGATTCTCTCTAAATAACTAAAGTATCTTACATGTTTAAAGCGGTTTCTATTAATAAGCGCATTATACGATCAGCATGATGTCTAAATTAAGATGTAGGAGTATCTTAGTTTCGAATTTTGGAAAAGATTAAGCGTGTTTGATTTTCAGGAAGAATTGTTAAACTGTTATATTTAGCTAAGAGATCTTACTATTATTAAACTGTTAGGAATGGTAAATATTTTTTATCTGTGTTAATTTATTATTGCATTTTTTATTTATATTTATTTGATTATTCGTTTTTTTTAAATTTAGACTTTATATATAATTTTTAATTTATAATATATTTTTTTTTAATTAAAAAAAAGTATTCATATTAAATTATAATTAATATATAAAATGTTAAAAAAAAAAAGTTATTATAAATATTATATTTTTATTTGGATAAACATGCTACATATAATATTAAATAGAATAAATTTAATTTTAATGAATTATAAAATATATATTTTATATATATATATATATATATATATTCATATAAAAATTTAAAAAAAAAATTTATAATTAATTTAATATTTATATTAATTTTTTTAAGATTTTAAATTATTATATATATTTTTTATATATAAAGTATTTTTCAAATTATTTAGTATTTAATTTATTTTTATTTTAAATATTTCATAAATATTTTTTTTTTTAAATATTAATTTTAAAATATTAATTATAGTAATTAAATAAAAATTAACATAAAAGATATTATATATTACAATATCTGTTTATTACTTTAAATTATGATTTTAATTTAATATTTTCGCATATAATGGATTTTTTTATTTATAAAATATTTTTAATATAAAAGAATATAACTAAAAATATAACATCAAATTCAATAATAAAAATACTAATATATATATAGTATGAAGAATATTTATTTTAAATAAACTAAAAATTAACATATAATTTAATAATATATATAAATATTTTACTTAATATTTAAAAATAATAATTATTTTGAATGTTCTTATATAGATTATTATTTGAAAGTTTTAATATATTTAATAAAAAATAATATATAAGAAAGAAGATAAAAATGTAAAATAATATCTTTTAAATATATGAGTAAAAATAAATTGTAAAATAATGCAAACAAAAAAAAATTTAAAAATAAAAATATTTTAATATCTAATAATTAATAAAGAAAAAAAATATAAAAAAAAAATTAATTAATTTATGTATAATTTTAAAGTTATTAATTATATAATTAATATGTATTTTAATTTTTATATAAAATAAATTATAATAGAGAGTTATCTTTTTCTTAATATAAAAATATTTATAATTAATAATTAAAAATTATAAATATAAAACATATAAATATATAAATAAAATATATTATATATATAAATATAAACTATTAATTATTTTATGTATAAGTAATATAAATGTACATGTTATGCATAATAGTATTATATATAAAATAATAGATATAATAATAATAAATATTATAATAGATATATTAATAATAATTATAATATTAATAATAATAATATAAATTTATATATGTATAATTAATTTATTAATATATTCTTTTTATTATAATGTTTTATATATATAACATTTATTATTTATTTGAATTATACTATTTATTTTTGCAGTCATTAAGTTATTTAGAAACTATATAAGGATTTTAATTATTATAATCACCAATATATTTAATTCATATATAATAAGAAAATACGAATATTTATGAATTAATGAGGTTATTTTAAAATATTTTTGTATTCTTAAGATGCTTTATTTATAATTTTTTTTTATAAACAAATATAAAACCCCACTTAAATTAATTATTAAATACAGATTAGTAAAATAATTTCAAACGACAATATAATTGATTTAATAATTAATTTTTTTGTTGTTCTAAAATAATGAATATTTTATAGAGTTTACATATTATTTTTCATAATATAAAATATAAAATATTCACTTATCTTTGAAAATAAAATAATAATTATATTATATATTCGTATATAAAAAAGGGGATAAGTTTTTAAATTTTCTTATATAAATTAAAATATTTTAATATAAATAAATATTAATTTTACTTTTTTTTTAAAAAAAAATAAAATATTAATTTAAATATACTTTTATTATTTTTATTTTAATAAATATTAAAAACAAATATGGATTTCGATAAATTATAAGAAAAATTCGAATCTACTATTTCCATGAATACTTATAGGAATTTTATGAAATTAAGATTAGATCCATTTAATCGTTATTCCAAAGCAAATAATTAAATTGATCATGATAAAATAAATTGCTTAGGATTTGCAATTAAGGATATATCAAAATTATGTTTTTAAGATTGTATAAATAATTAAAATACCTATACTAAAAAAGAATAATAATGTATAAGAAATTGTATTGAATCATAAATAAAAGGAATGCATAAATTAATTTTAAAAAATCAAAATTATACATATTTAAGATAAGAAAAGAATTGATTTTAATAATTTGTATTTATTTAAAAAAAGATTCTAAATAAACACAAATTAAAATTTTATATATATGAAAAAATAAAATATATAATATATAATATTTTTCAATTTGATTTATCACTTAAGTTATTTAAACTATAAACAAAATTAACTTTTTTATTTTTATATTTCTAATAAAGACTAGTAATATAATCATTATTAACATAATTATTTTCTTTTTAAGATATTTTATCAACAGTTTAATTAAGAATATTAAGAGTATCTTTAATTATAAGTTACTAAATAAAATATAAATATAATATAAATATAAATATAAATATATATACATTAATATAAATATATTTATATTCATATTATTAATATAAATTTAATATATTATTTACAGATTTATTCATTTCCTTTAATGAAATTATAACTTCTTAATTTTCCTTTGCTTACATTCTTTTATTCATACATAAAGCTCTATTAATAGGAAACCATCCGATTTCTTCTTTTTCAATTTTCTCAGCTACATAACTTTCAATACCGGTATATTCTGTTTATTTTTTATCTTAAAGATATGCTATGTAATATAAATAATTCCACATACAATGATCTTACTTAAAAAAATAAAAATAAAATAAATATTAAAATCTGTAAAAAATAATAAATATAGATAAATATGTAAATGTATAAATAAAACTCTAATATGAGTGATAAAATCTTAATTTTAATCAGATTCTTTTTCAATTTCTTCACTAGAAAAATTACAAATAAAGCATTTATTATTTAAATCTTATTCATATTCTTTTAATTTATCTCTTAATTCACCAAACTAATCAATAATAATACCTAAAAATATAAAAATGATATATGTATATATATATATATATATATTTATATACATATATTTATTATAATATTAAAAATTAAATGTTAATATACTTTTTTTATTATTTAAAAAATAAAAATTTTTATATATATATTTGTTTTATTACCTTTAATATAAAAAAAACAAAAATTAAATTAAATTTTATTAATAAAATATAAATATAAATATATATAAATATATATATATATATATATATATATATATATATAAATATCTATTTACATTTATATATACTAAAACATATAAAATACAAAATACCTGAAACAATATTTATCATTATAATCATACAAATAATAAAGAAAATATTATCATAAAAAAATCTTATTAAAAAATATGTTGTACTATTCTTCTCATCTTCAATTTAATCTAAATTATTTAAATAACCTCCTAAACCACCATCATATTTAAAACATTTATCAAATGTTGTCAAAAGACAGGTAAAAACACTCTCACAAAAAGTAGGTGGAAATGATTCTCTTAACCAATAATATCCAAATAGTGAAAAAACATATAAAAGTACTAAAAATAGGAAATATGTATACATAATAGGTTTTCTGGGTATATATACAGATCTTACGACATTTAAAAGCTCTGGAAAACGGACCAAAATATCAAATAAATGAAAAACAAAAAAAAATGGTGTATATGAAAGTCCAACTATAGCAGTTATACCATAAATAATATAATAAAGTACATAAAAATCAGAGAGTAATAAATAAATAGTTTTAATAAATCTTATAATGTATTTTAAAAGATTTATTTTGTCCTTTTTCTTAAAAAAAAAATATATAATATATTAAATATATATAATATATACCACTCCTTCCCAAGCTTTCATTATCAATATAGGAGCTGTAAGTAATAGAAAATAAAGGACAATAATTAAAGTTAAAACTATAAGAATAATACCTATAGTGGTAATATATTTTTAAGTATCTAAATAAAAATAATAAAAATAAAGTAAATAGATATAAATAAAATAATATATATATATATATAATATATATATTTATATATATATATATATATATATATATATATCTTTATTTTATATATATTATTTTTATATTTTAAGTTTTTTAATTATATTTATACATAAATTAACTATTTATTTATTTTCATCTCTTTAAAAACTAAAAAGAACCATTAAATTTATAGCTATTGCTAATACAAAAGCTATATCTCTTAAAAGATTAATTTATTAACTTAAAATATGTAAAATCCGTATTTTTTTAAGTTAACTATTTAAATTATAATTATGTCTCATTACTTTAATTAAATTTTAACTTTCTTACATTAAACTAGTAACTTTGCTTTTAACAGAAATTCTATTTGCATTCATATTGAATTTTTTTTTAGTTTATTTATCTAAATCTTTACAAAAATACGGACAATAAAAATAAGTTTTTTCCAAGTAATTATCTCCTTCTCTCAAAACCTCTATATGTAATGTATTTTACTAAAAGAATTAAACTGCTTCTTGCATTAAAAGTTCCCTTAAAGCCTTCTATTTAATCTTAATAGTCTAAATATCATCCCCAATATCTTTATTTTTTACTAAAAAATGCACTTTATTTGCCTATTCTTGCACCATATCTTTTATTCCTTTTGCCATAGTAAATGCTAATCCAAAAATATCCAAAACTAGATTATTTTTTAATATATTAGTGGTTTTTTCTCTTTTTTTTTTCCTTTTTTTCAATTTATTTTCCTATTAATAATTTTCCTCTTCCTCATTAAAAATACTCAATATAATATATAAATTAAACCCAGTTTCTATTATAAATCCTTATTAATTTTCTTCATTTTATTCATCATCAAAATGATTAAAAAGCTCCTTATTATAATTCTATTTCCCGATTATCTTATATAAATGGTATATATCGACTATATTTCTCTTTATAATTTCATAATTGATGCTTTTTATCATCTTAACGACTATATCATCTTCTTTTTTTCTCCCTTCTAGCAAAGATATCAATGTAATCGAGCATTTATACTTCAATTTAGCGATTTCCCATTTAGGAAGGGCCTTTTCAGCTTCCTAATCTTCCATAACTTCATCAATACTAAGCAAACTAGACGCCAAATCTAAAAAATTGTCCTATATAAGTGCCATCTAATTCTCTTTACAAGGTCCTTGGATATATTCAGTCAATGTATCGAAACATTAAGTCATATTTTTGATATATTTTTCCTATTTTTTAAAAAAATAGGCATTTAAAAGTCCTATTATGGCCTCTAAAAGGTCATAATTGTGGTAGTTTTGGGTTTATAATCTCATATATTTTTACAAGTCTAAATAATGGCCTTCTGCCAATAATTAAAGGAACCTTAAAATAGTTAAAATTACATCATCTTTTTTTTAGAAATTGAATATTGTAATTTCTTAACTATTATTAGTATTAGTTTTTTCCCGTTTTATTTTTTGTATTTCATCATTTATATATTTATGAATTGTCTTAAAAAATACCTCACTTTAAGTAAAATTCATAAAATAATTAAAAATACTCTTCTAAACTTCCTTGTTTCCGTCATATAATAATTTGACTCCGAATTAAATTATATAAATAAATAACTCTTCGGACCATTCCATATTCGAATAATCACTTAATTAATTAAATATCATCTAAGTAGCCCCATATTGGTTTAAAAAATTCTAATTTTTCTCAATATTTTCCTTTTTTAAAGACTCTATTATGTCCTAATCCTATTCATATTACTCATTTTATAATTTATAATCATCTATTTCTATAAAATTACCCAAAACATTCAATACTAGTTTAAATGTACTGGTACAAGTATTATCATTATGAGCTTTTTCAAGAAAATTAATCAATTTTCGGAAAATTTCACCTTTGTTAATAATTTCGTTTATAATAGGAATTTTCTGAAAAATATACTCAACTTTATCAAGTGCTAAAGCAAAAATTTTCTATTCAACTTTTATTAAATCTACTAATTTTTCAGAATTTAAAAATGTCTACAAAAATATGTTCCATAAAATTTACCATATCTCATTTTAGTTTATACATTAATTAAATAAATAAACATCAGGATCAATTTCTATTTATTCTTTTTTAATAAAATTACCAAGTTAAAAAAAAATATTATTATTAGTTTTTCTATCAGTATTGTTTTTATAAATATTATTTGCATTTTAAGGACTATCAACCATTGCCATTTTTTTATACAATTTATTATTATTATTATTATTATTATAATTATTATTATTATTATTATTATTATTATTATTATAATCTATTTATAAAAAACCACTATTTTCATTTATTATTATATTATTAACTTTAAAACCTCCAATCAAAGCTATAAATTTTCTCCATCTATTTCTATATATTTCGAATTCCCGATAATTAATTTCATTTTAATCAAAATAATATTTCTCATTTACAAATACTAATTTTTTTTTTATTATATTTTCAATTAATATATGTATTTCACTATTTATTTAATTCTATAATTTATTTGAAAATTCCTTATCTTATGAAAAAATAGCCTTATAACTATGTAAAACAAATAAAAATATATCAAAATAAACATAAAAAAATTTTGAAAATTTCTCCTAACTTAAAATCCTTTAATTTTCCTTTTAAATAAATCTAATAAAATCTTCTATATATTTCACAAACTCATCTGATATTTTCTCACTTTCTAAAAACGTATAATATATATATTTCAATAAAGGAATTTTTAAAAGACCTATTTACTCCATTATCCCCTCACAAAGTTCATCTTTTTGACTTAACAATTCAAATACATATTTTAAATTGATATTTTGCCTTAACTTTTACTCACTCATATACATTCCTTCTTTCCCTATAGTCGTAAAAGCTAAAACATCTAATAATTTTGCATGATAAACATACGGTTCATCTTCTTCATATTATTTTTGGAAACTAAAGGTATATCCTTTAGTCTTGTTTTAATTTTTATCGTTATCTAAATATAATAGTATATGTTTATATTTAGGGTCTAGGAATAGATTTAAGACTAATTTTTAATTTTTAATTAAATACTCATTATTAGTTTTCTAAATAATCAAGAAAAAGTCTAAATATTTAGCCTATCTTCCATTACTTATAATTAATTTAATAAAGTCATCTGTTATTTCAGTTTATTTACTCAAACAAATATGTTTATTATTCTGAAAAATCTCACAATAGAGTTCACTTAAACCCACATTAAATGGTAGAGCTTATAAAAGACTAACTAAATTTTCGGAGAGAATTTCTTAATTAAAAGTATTATATTTTACAAAGTTTTTTAGGAAAAAAAAACACGATTTAAAAAGTTCCCTCATTTTGGAACAATAAATATTTGTTTGGATATTTTAGTTATTTTTTTTTCTTTTTTCCTCTTCTCCTTATAATATATGAACCGAATCTTTAATTAAATTAATTGCCAGTTCATATACTTTATTATGATATAAAATCTTCTATCTAATAAAGTCGATTTCATTCTCGTTTTCAATAAAAACCTCATACTAATCTTCGCTCTTTTAATTATTCTAAATAACTCGTACCTAACTATTCTTAATTAAAATCTTCCCGAAAAAATCAAAATCATTTCTAGTCTTTTCCAATATCTCTAAATTTCCTTCATTATTTAAACTACTCATCCAACTCTCACTTTCTTCTATAAACTTCGTCAATTTCTTTAACTTAAACTTCGTAATTTCGTGTATTTTTTGATTTCCCTCATCAAATAAAAGTATTAATTAAGAAAGTAAATCCGCCAATTGATTTCTTTAATTATAAAATTTACACAAAACCCCTAAAATCTTCTTCTCCATCTCATAATCTTACGAAAAGCAAAAGAGCATGACTAAACTTGGAAATATTTCACTATTAAGAATTTAATTAATATTAATAAGTTCCCCATCTTTCGAAAACTTATCTTTCCTTTTATCAAAAAAAAAGCTCTAGAATTATTTTTGAAACTCTCCCATTTCATCCACACAAGTCCCCGTGCATAAAACCTAATTAAAAAAGCACTAAATATTATCCTAAACGAATTTTTTGAATTCCCTAATAACTTCCGATTTAGATTTAAAATCATTCTCAAAAGACTAGATCTTTTAAATTAAATTAAACTTATCCTAAACAATATAAACAAACTAATTTTTAATCCTAGAAAGCATATAATCATGTTTATAGTCTAAATATTTCCCAAAAATATTACAAATTTAACACTTAATCTTAAATTCATACTCATCTTGGTTTTCATTTAAAATTTTCTATAGAATTTTCTTTAAAACATCATTTTATTTCAAAAAACCTCCGCCTATAATGCCCTGGTCTTCCGCGATTATTTCTATGTTATTTTCCTTCTTTTTTTTCTTGTTTTTCTCGTTATTTTCCTATTATAAAACTTCGAAAAAATTAATCATATTAAAGGCTTTTCCCATAATACCCGTTACTCCATAAAATATTTTCTTCCCTTATTCTTGTAATTTATTCTATATTTATTCTTATTTTTCCTTTCTTTTCTAAACCAAAACTTTCCGAGCTTCCGGAAAAGTCTTATCATATTCAAAAATAGTCATTGCATATTATAAAATCTTAAAAATCTGGCTTTCCTAAACTTGCTCTTATTTATTTTATTTAAAAGAAAGACTTTAAATTTCTCTTTTTATATCATAGCAACCAAATTAAATTAATAAATAAACTATTTTTAGTATTTCATAAGTTAAGTTATTATAAATATTTCCCGCTTTTTATTAAATTTCTCTTTTTTTAATTTCATCATTGATTTAATTTGGGTTTTCATGGAATATTTCTTATATTTCTCTCGCTTTTTCACCTATATAAATTAATAGCTTATCTTTTATTTTCTCAATATTTTCATCTGCTTAATAATTTTCTTCTTCTTCGACTTCTTATTTTTTCTATCCTTTTTATTCAAATTTTAATACCATGCATAATTCTGGTATATTTTATATTTTTTAAGGTTCTTATACGATATAAAGCTTTTGATTAATATTTATAAATATATATATATATAAATATATATATATATATATATATATATATATATATATTATATTTATATTTATATAGTTTTTAATTTTACTTTATTTAATAATTAATATATCTAAGCTCTAAAATCATACGAATATTATTCTTCAGTTATAGTTTCAGCCAAAGCATTAAAAGTATAATTTTATTCAATAAAATTTTTCCATGTATAATTTCTTGAATTACACATAGTAGCAAGAAACTCAATTTGACAAGAAATAAACACAAACATATCATTTTCATTTTTTTATTTTTTATTAATATTTTTCCCTAAAAAAGTGACTAATTTTTCTATATTAACTTCTAAATTATTAGAAATTTAATCATTATTTAAATAAATAATAAGATCTTTTCCTTAGCTTTTAATTTAAACTAAATGATTCTCTTAATAAATTCTATTTAAACCATTTTTAATTAAATACTCATATATCAACTCTTAATTAACATTAACTCCTTCCCCAAAAAAGCAACTTCCTTAACTTAAAAACCTTAAAATTTGTTTCTTTAAGCCAAAATCTTTACTTTTGACTAATAAAAAGCAAAAATACTGAATCATATCCCATTATTCTTTATTGAAGATTTAGTTTCTTTCTTTTAATAAAAATGTCATCTTTTCATATTTCTCATTATAATTATTCTCTAAATCATTTAATTTTTCATATATATTAAAATCATAAATTTCTTTAAGGTTAAAAAAAGCACTTTGTTTACCTTTCCCACTCGATTTTCTTTTTTAATACTATTATTAAAATTCTTTTGATAATTTCTCTTTTTATTATAATTTCTCATATTTTATCTCTCCTTTTACGAAGTCATTATTCAATCTATATAATTAAAATAGAAGTTCTTAGTAATTATTTATTATTTATAATATACAGTCCATAGCACTTGGTATATATCGAAATTAAACTGCAAATAAAGGCAGATATAAAGATGCTTTTTCTTAATTTTTTTAATTATTTGTGCATATATTTGATAATAATTTATAAATTAAAACACAAAACTTTATCTTTTTTCTAATTATTTATTCTTATATATATTTAGAATATTCATTAATATCTAAAAAAATAATAAAAAAAATAATAAAAAAAATTAATATTAAAATTATACTATTTTATTAATTATTATTATTATTATATATATTATTAAATTTAAATTTATTTTAATATTCATTTTCAATAATTAAAGCTTCTTATAAATTTTAAATTTTCGGAAAAGAAAGTGCCAATAAGGAAACTAAAAGTTCAACAAAATGTTACTCTTTTAATACATTTTAAATAAAATTATTAATTTATCCATATTACTAATCAATATAGAGATAAGCCAATAATTTATTGCAACAAAATAGATTCAAATCAATCAAACATTTCTCCAATCGATTAATTTTAATAATAAATTAATTATATTCTTCCTAATAATTCATAGATTTTATCTCCTCAATATATTCTGGATTTAAATATTTGAAAGCTTTAGTAATTACTTTTCTACAGGAAAGTAAAAACTATGTCATACGAACTTCATTCTAATTAGCTTTAGCTAATTTAAATACATACTCCTCTTTTTTAGTTGTTGAAAATGCAGGATATATTTAAACTTAAGTTTAATCAAAATTAATAAAATCATCAATATCTATAATTTTAAAAATTATATATATATATATATATATATATATATATATATTTATATATATATATATATTTAATATTTATTTTTTAGATATATATATATACCTTCTAATTAACAGGACATTATATCCCCGAATTCCTTAGAATCTGCTGTTTTTAACCAATAAGTTTAATTTTTATTAAAACAAGACATTCTAAAATAAGAATCCTTTGAACCAAAAAAATAATATATATTTTTATCTTTTTTTTTTATAATTTTACTGTAATTTTTTTAAAAAAAACTCAATAAAATAACAATTAAATGATTATTATTCATTTTTTTTATATTGAGTTTAAATTAAATAATTACAGAGAATAATAACATTTAAATAATATAAATTGATTTATTATATATATAAATACTTTTTATAAATATTTAGTTAAATGTTCTTTATTTCTCTAGATTAAACTAGATTAAACTAACTCAAATTTAAACGAAGAAGCTTATTTAATGTTTTTAACTAAAACGAGCAATTTATTCTATTCCCCAAAATCGATTTCATTGATTCCTCTAACTACATTACCTAAACTCAAATAAAACCCAGTAGTTAAATGTCTTAATTTATAATCTTTATTCCATTCTACTAGTCCTCCTTTATGCATATTTTAACTTTAAATAATAAACATTCCATTTGAATTACCAATAAACTTTTAATATTTTTCAGTTTATTCAAATCCTTCAAATTTTAATAAATATTTTTCATTTGATTCATCGTATTTTTAAGTTATTAAATTCAACTTTTTTTTTTTTTTTTTTTTTTAATAAAAAATATATAATAATAAAAATTCATAAATTATATATACATCTTATTCAGAATAATTTATCCATATAATATCACAAACAGATAATTTGTCATCTACATATTCTGAAAATATTCGTATTTTCCATTAGCTTTTTTATTCAGAAGATGCATTTATTTCTTTTTTTTTATAATTTTTTTCAGATTCATTATTAGATGTATTTGACTTTGAAATTTTCTTTAAAAGTTTTTACTTTTTTTAATTTAGATCTAATGCATCAGCAGACGCATGCAAATATAATTCACCTGAATTATTTCTACACTCTAATGTCGATTTTATATAAATAAAATCATTATTATAAATAATTCCTTAATTTTCCTATTAATAACTAAAACAAGGTAATATCCTAAAACATGTCTAATCTGAATATTCTTCTTTTAATTGAACTCTTTATATATTTATATACATTTTATTTTTTTCAATATATATTTATATTTTTTTTTCAATATATATTAATTTATACTTTAAATTATCATATTCGTAATCTGATACATGGTTTTAATCTAAATATAAATACTTATTTGAATTATAATGTAAAAACTAAACTATTTATCCATATAAAACTGGTGTTCCTTTAAGTTTTTTATATTATTCATAATTTAATTATGCCTCTTCGTCCATTTGTTTTACTTACTTTGGAATTTCTTATCTTAAAGCTATTTTATTAATTTTTTTATAAAAAAAACAAAACAAAAAGTACTTCTTTTATTAAACTAAACTGAATCTTATTATTAATCAATTTATTTTTATTCATATTTTGTTTTTATTTTTAGATATTGACTATTATAAAAAGAAGGGTAAACTTTAAATAATCCAGACATATAATTGCCATACTTTTTAATATGACTTTCTTACAAAAGCTAAACTCTATTTTTCGTAAAGCCTTCAGCTTAACTAATGAAAATTTCGTTTTATTCATTTTCATAAGATAAATATATTGTTGAACCGAAATTTAAAATCGATTTATTACTTTAAAATTAATTTTATTATTCCATTTAATATTTTTTTAAAAAAAAAAACAAAAAAAAACAAAAAAAACAAAAAAAACAAACAAATTAGCAATTTTTTCTATATAATAAAATTATTTATATTTATTAATTAAAAACTTAATAATATAAATATTTTATTTATATATATATTTTTTTCTCATATTATTTCTAAATTTTTATTATTTTTTAATTCATTGAATCCTCCTTCTATATTAATTTAATTACAAAACCCTAATTTTCTTAAAATACTACAAGCAATACTAGATCTTGTTCCACTTCTGCAATAAACATACACATCTTTATCCTTAGGAAACTCAAATACTTTATTTTAAATTTAATTTGCTAACTCATTAAAAGGTACATTTAATGCTCCCTTAATTTTACCCTCTTCGAATTCCTATTTGTTCCTAACATCTAAGAAAATAGCATCATTTTTCGCATCTAAAGCTTTAATATTTTTCAAAGAATGAATTTCGACTCCAGAATTTTTACAAGAATCAAAACCTCCCTATAGACATCCTATTATTTTATCATATCCGATTCTCGCGAGTCTAATAATAGCTTATTTTTCACTCTTTCCATCTGTAACTAAGAGGAAACTTATACAAGGAGGAAATAAAGTGCCTACAAGTACAGCGAAATTAACTGAAAGAGGAATATTTATAGATCCAGGAATAAATCCATTTAGAAAATCTTGTTAATTTCTAGTATCTAAAATAACAGTAGTATTACTATTACTTTACTTCAAGAAATCATTAATGTTAAAAAAAATAAAACTTTTCGAAATTATTTTTTCTATTTATTCATATCCTTTCATATTCACTTCTGCTGAATGGAAAAAATACTAAGGAGGTTACCCTATATTAGTTGTTAAAACTTTCACAAAATCCTCCTTTTTTAAATCTTTATTTAAAGCATAATTAGTATTTAATTAATTTTCCAATGTATCGCTATTTCCTGACTGTATTTTTTTCCCACAAGCGCTTCCACTCCCATGTCCTGGATAAATAATGCATTTAGGCTCTAATTTCATTATTTTATTCCTTAAAGAATCATATAGTAATTCGGCTAAATTTTCACAAGTAATCTCTTCCCCTTTTACTGCTAAGTCAGGTCTTCCTACTTCCCCCAAGAAAAGAGTATCCCCTGTAAAAACGCAATATTGTTTATCATTCTCATCCAAAAGTAAATAGCAACTACTTTCCAAAGTATGTCCAGGAGTATGAAGTACTTTAATTTTTATTTTCCCTACTTAAAATATTTCCTCATCTTTAGCAGACTTAATTTAATAAGAAGCTTTAGCTCCTGGCCCATATATTATTTAAGCACCAGTTTTTATATTTAATTCTATATGTCCACTTACAAAATCAGCATGGAAATGTGTTTCGAAAACATATTTTAATTTAGATCCACGGTCCTATATTAATTTATAATAAGGCTCGATTTCTCTCATTGGATCTATTATAATAGCTTCTTTATCACTTTCTATATAATAGGCCATTTCTGATAAGCATGCTGTGAAAAGTTAAATTATATAAAAGTTTTTATGTTCATCAATTTTAATGATTGCCTCTGGCATTTACTTTTATATTTATTAGCTAATTTCATTTATTTAGGATGAACTACAACCCATTTACTTTGTTTTTTAATTTTTTTGTTACTTTTTTATTTTTATAGTATTATTTTAAGATTTTATTATTTAAAGATACGATTTTTAATTCTAAAAGTATAAATATTTATTTATTTTATATATATGATATTTTTTAATTAATTATCATTTTTTTTACAATTTATTTTTATTATATTTATAATTTTAAATTTTGTTTTAAAAGATTTTATTTATCAAATATTTATTTAATTACGAAATATATTTTTTTTGATAAAAAAAAATATTTAAATTTTAAATCAAATTATTTAAATATAAGTATATTTAATTTTTTATCATAATTATGTTTTTAAATGATTTCTAAAATAAAATTTGTATTATTTAGAAATCGGATAAAATTAAATAAACAAACTTTAGATTAAAAACATTAGATTAAATAGTAATTTTAAGTAATAAATAATATTAAATTATTTAATAATATTTATTTTTTACACTAACATATATATATTCAAATAATTTATAATTTTATAAGAAAAATGCTTTATTATTAGTCTAAAAAATAATCAACTAAATATTAAAAACTATTATATACTTTTTTTTAAATTAATGTAAAAACCTAATAAATTATTTCAATAAAAATATTGTTAAAACCATTAAATTGTTTATTTTATTATTACATATAAAAAGTCCTTTATATTATTCTAAAACTAAATAAATAATAATTTAAATTTTTAATAAAAAAATAAATTTATTTACTTTGAATTTCTTAATTATTTTTAAATTAAAAGCATAATATCCTCCCCCCCTCCTAAAAATATTAATTTAATTTAAATACCCCTTTTATTCTCTAAATACTACAACCAATACTAGATCTACCACCACTTTTACAATAAATATAAAATTCTTATCTTTATCAAATTTTGGCAAAATAAAATCAATATAATTTGCAACCCTTTCATTTAAACATAAATATATTCAGCTAATATCCAAAAAAGTAAAATTTTTCAAAACTAACTTAGCCGAAATATTTTTGATTTAATCAAATAATAAAACCGCTTTTTTTTTAACTATTAAATCCTCCTTTTAAATATTCAATTGCTCTATTATATCATATTTTATTTAATCTAGCAATTAACTATTTTTAATTACTTCTATCAATAGTAATTAAAAACTAGTCTAAGAATCAAAAATACTAACCACTTAAACAAACAAAAATCATACTTAAAATAAAAACTATTCCCGAAAAAAGGAATAAAATTTCTAGGTGATCTCTTATCTGTAATAAATGCATAATTTATTTTCTAAATTTCAAAAAATTAATGAACGTCTTAGAATATAAAACATTATTAAATCATTTTCCTATAGTATTGTATCCTATATTATTAATAAAATCTGAATAGAAAATACTAAGGAAGTCTAGGTAATTTTCAGTATACTAAATAGTTTATTAGGTATCTTGTTTTTATATGTATTAATTTAGGCGTATTTTTTTAAAAAAATAAAAATAGTTTTTCTTTTAATAAATAAATATATTTTTTTAAATTTAATCATAAATTTTAGTTAAGAATATGCTGCTTTGTAGATAATTATTTTTTTACTAAAGTAATATTGGCAAACTTTAGAAATATTATTATAAATAAAAAAAATATAATTGAATATCTATTAATTTTAAAATAAAATAAAATAGATAAATCTTTATAAATATGTAAAATAAAAAAATATTAATATAAAATAGTTATATGTAAAAATGCAAGATAATATTTTAATGATTATATTTGTTTTATGAAAATACATAAAAAATATTTTAATCATAAAATTTTTCAGAATTGAATGAAAAAAATAAATTATTTGATAAATTTTTGAAATTAATAAATAAAAGATATTAGTAAATTAAAAATATTTTTCTAATTTGTTTATTATTTATTTAATATTTATAATATAAAATTAATTAAAAATATTATAATTAAATTAAAAATTATAATAAAAATTATATTTTAATCATAATATTAAAGTTAAGGCAGATAAAGCTAATCCACATAATAATTAAGATGAGAAGTTAGCTTTTTCAGTTTCGGTGTTTTTAGGTTTGCTTTAAACTTATACATGGAAGTTTTATTTAACTTCATCAATTTCATTTTTTTCAGCCAAATTTCTTAATGCATCTTAAGAAAGAGCTATTTTTAAAGAGACTTCAACTAAGGCATTAACATGAGGTTAGAACAGCAAAATATCTACATCGGTTGATCCTAATCCTTATCTAAGAGTCCACCATTAAATATTTCTAACATAATTGTAGATACCAGCATCATCAATGAATTTAACAGTTACAACATGTAAATATTTGGTATACGAGTTGTCCTTGAATAAAATTCTAACATACATATGGTTACCAACAGTATAGACTGGAACAGTTCCTTAAGCTAAGTAAGAAGTACATGTTTAATCAGAACAAGTTCTTCCTTCAGTATCTAAGTTGGCAACAATAATACATTCCTAACCTTTATCACATCCTTCAGTAATTTACTTTTCAACTGTAAGATGGAATACTTCAACTTAGTCTCTGTTTGTATAGACTCTCATTTAAAACCTATGTTATCTAATAACTCTTCTTAAGTGACCTAATTCAATAGCAAAACAAACAATTTAGTAAATGGTTCTTCCATCACCAGTTAATTAGGTGTTTTATGTAAGATTGTAGATATCGATTAAGGGAATTCTAAGGGTTAAACTATTCTAAGTTTAGGAAATAACATACTACAAATCTAAGGGCACATAATTGGTACAATCCTTAGCCCAAAGAAGTCTAGTTACTAATTAAGATATACATTCTTTATCTAATTAAACAGTAAGTCTTAACCAATCATAAGTAATAATATCTTAAATAAAGTTTTAACCATTTTAAGCTTTCTCAAGGCTACATTTAGAATGTACAACCATATTGAAAATTTAGTTGAAGAGTTACCATTCACAATTTGCTACTGGGACGCTAATTCCTACTCTTTCACATTCCCATTCAGATCCTTATTTTAATCTCCAATCAGGTGTTAAACATTAGCAAAAATCTCTGTTGACCATTTAAGTGCCTTCTTATTATCTGCATCTTGAGCAAAGATTACATTCTGCACATTCAGTTACTTAGCTATCACACTCACAACTAACATGACATTATGTTTAAGAAGGCAATTGAGCTAATGCAATAGACACTAAACCAATAAATATAAATAATTTTAATGTTGAATTCATTCTTTGACGTTATTTTACTTTATTTATATTTCAATATATTTTATAATATTATTATTTAATAATTATATTTTTTTATATATAAATATTTTAAATATTTATATATTAATTTTTAACTCTAATATAATTTATTTTATTATAAAAATTTTATGATTTAATTTACTAAATATTTTAATTATCTTTATGTTAATTTTAAATTATAATATATTATATAAACTAATTTTATTTAATGTATTATTTATTATTTTTAAAAAAAAATTATTTATTAGGGATATTTTATTTTATTATATTAATTTTATATTTTATTCTATTCTAGTTTTGATTATATATTATAAATCATTTTAATTAATTTTTTATAAACTAATTATATAAATTTAATGATTCTTTATTTTATAAATTATTATAAACTTATAAAATAAATATGAAAATAGATAAAAGCATGTTAACTAAAAACTAAATTGTAAAATTTAATATTATTATATTTATTTTATACTCTTAAGTTAGAATAATATTAAAAATTAAATTAATTTTTTCAAATAATTTAACTTTAATTATAAATATTTTTTATAATAAATCAGTTATTTAATTTTTAAATTAAGTTATTTCACATATAAAGATATTATATATAAATAATTCTTAAAATTATTTATTTTACTTAAATTTGATAAATTATATTTTAGAATATTTAATAAGTAAACTTTTTTAAAAAAATATTATTATTAATCTCTGATTTGAGATATATAAATAGTTTTTAAATAAAATATTGAAAATAATATATTAATAATATTATTTAAAATAATATACAGTTCAATTATATTTTAATTATATTTATATTATTAATAGATAAAAAGTATAAAAAATAAATTTATAGTATTTTTAAAATTATAATTAAGTTATTTTTGAATTTTTTTTATTTTTCAATTATTTTAAAATTAACGCAAATAGAATTTAATTAGCATATGTAAAATTAATAATATAAAAAAAAATAGAAATTAAAATAAAAATTATAATAATAATAAACAAACAAAAACTTATAGAAAATATTAAAGTAAAATAACGTCAAAGAATGAATTCAACATTAAAATTATTTATATTTATTGGTTTAGTGTCTATTGCATTAGCTCAATTGCCTTCTTAAACATAATGTCATGTTAGTTGTGAGTGTGATAGCTAAGTAACTGAATGTGCAGAATGTAATCTTTGCTCAAGATGCAGATAATAAGAAGGCACTTAAATGGTCAACAGAGATTTTTGCTAATGTTTAACACCTGATTGGAGATTAAAATAAGGATCTGAATGGGAATGTGAAAGAGTAGGAATTAGCGTCCCAGTAGCAAATTGTGAATGGTAACTCTTCAACTAAATTTTCAATATGGTTGTACATTCTAAATGTAGCCTTGAGAAAGCTTAAAATGGTTAAAACTTTATT